GACCCTCACACCACCTGAAGCTGTGTTTCTGGCATATGTGGATGCTTTAAAGTAGGCATCTCAGGATGCGCAATTTGAAGTGCAGTTTGACATAGATGCTTAACATATCTGGTTTTCCAACAGTAACTGAGAACAATACTGTAGGTGCAGTATGTTTATTGACAATAGACTCCAAACATTTATATGTGTCTAGGGCTTTGGAATGGCGAAGGAGTAAGGACTGCATAACCAAGGCTGTATATAAATACTGAAGGAAGGTGTGAAGGACAGATTTCCATTTTGCTAAAGCTGTGAGGGACATATTTCAGCACATCTGTCATTCCCACTCCCTCATATGTTTGAAATCTGTTTTCCACTTTGAGTGAAAGGACTGCTGTTTCACCGTGAATTTTGATGGTATTTGTTCAGAGAGGTCTAGAGCGTTTGAGTTGAGAGAGAGCGAAGGGATTAAAATATTCATAAAAGTGTATGAGCTACCAAATAAAGATTTCACATGTAGGAGGGACTGTATCTTAGCTCTGGGGACTCATTTGCCCTCCTACTCTCTGGTGAACATGCAACCTACATGACTGGATCAGAGACCTTTTCAGTGCAACAGTCTTATGCATTCAGCACTGAAGAGGAAGAACTTGTTGATTGAAATGACTTGTGGTCACTGAACCTGAGGCTAGAGTTCATATGCAGAGCTCTGGCTGTGCCCTGGGTTGTAGTGGAAGACTACCCAGTGAAAGCTGTTGAGGCTACCTTTTGCCACATCATACTTGAAACTGTTGCTGTTGTTCTGCTGTCAACATAAAAGGTACAGGGCATAATTGGGCATTGAGAGCGTGGCTATCTCAAAGCAACAGCCCCACTTTCAGAATATCTCTTGCGTAAAGCTGGGACAATCCAGTTATAGTTGAATAGAAAAGGGGTTCAATTCCTTCCTCTACTTATTTGAATGCATTGTGTGTATGCAGTTGTTATGAAGTTTATTTTTGAAAGTGTATCCACCCGTTTTCAAGGAGAAATTATTACCGTAATTAGTCTTTCATTTATGATGTTTTCTCAATTAACTTAAGAAAAACAAAGTGTCCATATGTCACCCTGTGGTCCGTTGTGAAATACACAGATTGTGTTGAGCTTGGGACAGATCTTTTTATTACTCTAGGATCTACATGCATTCATTGTAAATGCAGAACAAAAGCTTATTATTATGTTATAGTCTGTTCCCCAAATTATCCAAGACTTTGAATGCATCTTTCTCATGTCTTTTGAAAGAGAACAATAAAACAGCATCCATAAGCTTCTTTCCTCTGCACAGGATAAAGCAGTATAGTTTAATGTTCTCCATAAAGTGACCCACATATGTACCATTAACACTAAATGGAGCACTCCCAACCATTCCATTACTTTAAAACCCTATTTGCACTTCTAACCCTCATCGATATCCACATGCACACACATAAAAAAAGGGGGGGGGGTACATATGATTTTGAGGTGAAACACCACATTGTTTTTAAATACCTCTCAGCTGTAAACCCATAAGCTCCTCATGAGCTGATTAATTCTGGTGGTGTGCCAGTAAGGAGTCTGTAATAATCTAACACGATGTATTACTTACAGAAAGGTGCACACAGATTTTTTTAAAGCCACAGAGGTGATGATTTTGCTTGACCAGCAGCAATAACCATAAAATATGTATGTACAGAGGACCTCATTTATGCCACAATAAGTTGCAATAGAGAAAAAAAGGGCAGATCAGGGGCTTAATGTGAGCCCATTATTCTTGTGCAGTAGTGTAAGTCAAGTGCGTGTAAGTAACTTTGCTAACCCCCGAGGGAGCGAGAGCATGGCAGCATCAGAGAATGGGGGCCTCGTCCCCTCAGTGCTTGTACTCTAACCAGGCATGAGACATTGGCCCTGACTGCCACCCACCCCTAGTCACGGTCACCACAAGTTAAGTGACCAACTCCAGTGCATCGCTGGGGGCCAAATAACCATTCACATCACTGGCAACCTGAACATATGTGACGTGCTCTTGAACAAGTTCCAGCATATGGTTGGCCATTTGAACAGTAATCTTCGAAGGCAAGGTTATGTGAGCTCATGGAAAGTGAATTGGTGTTTGCGTGTTATGCATCTGTTTCTGCTTGTAGGAATAAGAGATGGAAAAACATGATGTGGATACAGTGAGCAGCTCAACCCATTATAGTGTGTCAACAAACAAACATATGGCATGCAAATAAGAGAGATTGTCTGGTGCTCGGTAAATATTTGGCCCTGAGTGTTCACATTCTTCCCCCTGGTGGTGTGCAGACACTTACTGAAAGGTCAGTGGTTCAGGTTAAATGCATCTCCACCTCTTTACCAGCAGATGAGTAAGGATTTAGGGCTAACCCAAGTCTATGTTTGAACTATCTCAGGAACGACACCATCACTACCACCAACAACAACAATGGCTCATCAGGAGTGTTTGCCTTAATTCTTGCAGACAGTTATGCCAGCAACTGTTGTGTGCAGAGTTTTGGTGATTTAGGAGACAACAACTTGGCTATGTAAGGTATTTTTCTGTGGTTCAAAAGCATCATTGATGAAAAATAAGTGAAAAAAACAGACACTATCTGTGTTAGGTTTGAAAAGAGAGGTCTTTAGAAGAGAAAGAAATTGTTTAACACCTCTCCAGGCAGTGTGTCACCAGAAAGGGTCAGTAATTTGATTTAACCATGCACATGAGTAATTTTAGTCATCCAGATGAAAGATTCAGTGGAACAGTGGTAATCCAGGAACATGCCACACAGAGCCACAGTACAGATAAACAGGTACAATTCTCTTCCAGTGGCTCCACTTGGCTATAACACCAGCTGCCGCAGCTCCTGGACTCATCCCTGTTTTTCTAATTTTCTTGGCACTAATTAAATCTCTGCAATCTGTAATGCTATTTTCTATTTGTGTGTTTATATTCAATTCATCTTTTCCCTGTCTGGGGTAGCTGAAAGCAAAATGATATCAGATTTGATATATTTGTTCTCCACAGGATAACATTTTCGTGGTATTGAGGTAAAAATTCTATATCACTGGACCTCTCATGGAAATAATGCCACCCCAATAGGGATAAATCCGGGGACATTTCTGGGGATCGTGCCAGCTGGGGATAAAGCAGCAAATATGGAGACTGTTCCTGGAAAACTGGGGCATCTGGTTTCTTAAGCTAAAACTGCTTGCCTTGGTATTCAGACCTCTGACTTATCTCTCCTGTTAAGAGCTCCATTGGCAGCCGAGATAAGCCTGGATTGGACAATTCTCACATATAAAGATATCTACAGTACACATAATTTTAGACCAATTTCAAAACTGCCTTTTATTGCAAAGATTCTAGAAAGAATTGTGTCCAAACAGCTGCTCACTGTACTGGAAAATAACAAAATATTTGAAAAGTTTCTGGTTTCAGGAAGTACCACAGCACTGAGACTGCCCTGCTTAAAGTCACCAATGACCTTTTAATGTCTGCTGATGAAAGCATGTGCTCAGTCCTGGTACTCCTGGACCTTAGCGCTGCTTTTGACACCATTGATCACAACATCATGTTAGACAGACTGAGGCACTGTGTGGGGATCTCTGGTAGTGCCCTAGAATGGTTTTCATCCTAAGTGTCAAATAGGAAGTTTTGCGTGTCTGTAAACAACTATGTCTCTTCGTTCTGTCCAGTTAAATATGGTGTGCCTCAGGGGTCGGTCTTAGGACCCATTTTGTTTTCCTTGTATCTGCTTCCCCTTGGTCATATTATCCATAAACATGGCATTTCTTTTCATATTTATGCTGATGACACACAAATATGCCCGTCCCGATCCACAGACCCTGGAATGCTGAGTTCACTTAACAACTGCCTTTGTGAAGTTAAAAAATGGATGTCAAATAATTTCCTCCAACTGAACTCAGACAAAACAGAAATCCTGGTCATCGGGTCTCAGCAGATGGCAAATCAAATACTGCCATCTGCTGGTTCCCTAGTAAATCACACTAAGCCTGTGGCAAAGAACCTTGGTGTTTGGTTTGGTAGTAATTTAAATTTCGAGCAGCACACCACAAAACTTGTTCAATCATGTTTTTATCAACTTAGAAATTGGATCTATGTTAACTTTTAAGGACACCGAGACCATTTTACACGCCTTCATCTCATCATGCCTGGATTATTGCAACAGCCTTTTCACCTGTTTAACCCAAAAATCTATTGATCGACTCCAGACTGTCCAGAACTCAGCTGCCAGGCTTTTAACCAGAACAAAGAAATATGACCACATTACTCCTATTTTAGCTTCATTACACTGGCTCCCAGTATGTTTTAGAATTGACTTTAAAATTCTATTGATCACTTTTAAAGCTCTTCATGGCCTCTCGCCTTGTTATATTTCTGACCTTTTAGTCCCATACACACCAGCACATACCTGGAGATCCTTGGGCAGAGGTCTGCTATCTGTTCCAGAGTCTCAACTGAAAACTAAAGGGGACAGTGCGTTTGCTGTCAGGGCCCCGAGGCTCTGGAACAGCCTGCCCGAAGAAATCAGGTCAGCTGAGTCAGTGAACTCTTAAGTCCCTTCTTAAAACATAATTTTATAGGAGAGCCTTTCCCGATCTTATTTGACTTTATTTTATCCCTTTTATTTTATTGTATTTTACTAATTTTATGTTTATCTTAAACGTGTATTTTAGTCTTTTCAATGTTTTCATGCTTTCATCTTGTATTGTTTTCGTATTATTGTCTCTTGGGTATTATTGTCTTTACACTTGTTAAAGCACTTTGTAACTTGTCTTTGAAAAGTGCTCTACAAATAAAGATTATTATTATTATTATTATTATTATTTATTCAGTGCACCTTAAATTAAAATAATTTCTTCACTTGAGACCTAAATACTTGACTACCTATTTTACTTTAACGCTTTAAGTACATCAAGTACTTTTCCCCCAAAATATCTAAGCCAATATTTCTAATAATATTTCCTTTTCTTTATGCTACCTGTAGGAGAGGAGGCACTGACTATGTACCTGGCCAAAAACAAGCTGGACAGGAAGCTTGCCAATGCTACTCAGAATGTGGAAGCCCTTCATCAGCTGGCCTCGTCCTACTTCATTGACCGCGACGGCACGATGAGGAAGCTGCATGAGATCCAAATTTCCACCAATGCCATCAAGGTTGGTGCATATTGCACATGCATATGCAAAGAAATATTTACTGAGTCATGTCAATACTGTTGTGCCATGAAACATGGACTTTACCTGAGAAACAATATTGTCATATGCAGTGTACAGCTGGTGTTTAATACCAACAAATGAAACTGAAAAACAGAAATACAAATAAAGGGCATCTCAATGAGTTTGCATTAGCCAGAGTTGTAAGGTAGCATTATATTAATAAGTTAGCTTTAATAATAACATAAAATTAATATATTTCATAAAAGTACTCATAGAAGAATGGGTGTTATGAAAATGAACCAATGCAGACAATGCTACCACAGGGTGAAGTATTCCAGCAGAAGCAGATGGATTGTAAAACATACACAGAAGTGGAAAGTAACGAATTACAATTACTCACGTTACTGTAATTGTGTATTTTTTTTGTGTGTACTTTTACTTTTTAAAGTATTTTTTAAATCTGTAATTTTACTTTAACTTTAGTATGTTTTGTTAAAAGTCTTTTACTTTGCTACATTTTCAATCAAATCCGTTACTTAGTAAAAAAAAGTGCAAGGAAAAACTTCATCATGCAGTGTAAGCTGTGGAAAAATGCTGTATTAAGTTACTGCTAATCCAAACTGAACATTTCCTGCTGCCAGAGTTTCACATTTAAAGCATTCAGCTGGCGAAACACAAGTTGACCTTTATTTTGAAGTAGTCACAGGAAATGCAATCTGTTTGTAAGTGAGATCAGCGCTGACTGCTCTCAGTCATCAAAAATGCGTCTGCACAACAAGACAACCATCATTTTCAACAGTTTTCTGACAGTGTCCAGTTTGAAATATTGCAGTGAGTAATGCAACAGTCAGCAGCAGACAAGGTGAGCTGTTAGATAAAGAGCTGCATGCAACAGGTTGCACACCTCAACCTTCTCAGCCAGCCTATCACTCTGCTCACACTGATAAGCTATAAGCTAATAAAAACATTAATTTTGCGATAGTTGAAAATATTAAGCAGTAATATGATAATTATTTTTGAAAGTCCAGCCCCCATAGTGTCTGCTTGGAAAAATTCATGTCCTTGAACAAATGTAGTTGAGGACCCCTGATGTAGGTAAGTTAAATAATAGCCTACTTCCATTGGTGGCTAAAAATAAGTTTTCATAGTTTGGTAAGATGCTTTGCTCCAAATAGCCAAAAAGACATTGATGCATGACAATGTTGGTTGGCATTAACAACCTGCTGGTAACTAGTAATATCCCATTATACTAACGCTTATGATATCCCATTAAAATTACCACCTGTTTGAATGTAAATGGGGATTTGATTTAATTAAATAAGTTATTTTAGGAGGTTAAAAAAGTAACTATGTAACTCTTACTCTGAGTAAATTTTAAATGAGCTACTTTTCACTGTTACTTGAGTAGATTTTTTTTACCGGTAATTTTACTTGTACTTAAGTAAAAGTTCATCAAAGTAATCTTACTTTTACTTAAGTAGAATATTTTTGTACTCTTTCCACCTCTGAACATACATATACATACATGTGACTGAATGGTAGTCTCTGTGATTCTAAACACGTACTTCCTGTATGCATATTCATCACATGTTTACCACTAGGGGGTGCTGAAAATAAGATAACTATGAACATTAACAAACTGAAACAGGGCACATAGATTTATTTGAACAAATTACTTTGAATAAGAAAACAGCATTTTGGAGCTGTGCAAGACTATTGCCTGTAACTGCTTGCCATTCATGTGCTCATTTGCCCAGGGACACTAAGGAGAGGGCTAGGGAAAGGAATTGTAAAATATAAATAACATCAAGTAAAACCAAATAGGCCAGGGTTTTGGAATACCCCTCTCCTGTGACTATGTTCCAGTAATTAGCCTAAATGTTGATTCCTGTCTCAGGTGAAGAGAGAGATGGTATCTGCTTTGAATAAGGTTTAGTTTTAAAACTTTTGCACAAACAGTAACCAAACACAAAATGACTCTTTCTCTCGAACACATTGAGCACAGCTTGAAGTTCTACTTCCTTCAGAGAAATTTCCTAAAATCATACAAATGACTAAATTATACAAACTGGATTTCCCCTTATTATCACATTATCAAATGGCATGTAAACACACAAATTAAAGTATTGTTTTCTGATTAGTATATCCAGTCTTATAAATTTAAAGTCAGAATTTGAATGACTTGTACAGTTTTGTCTTATTTTTCTGTATCTCTAGCATAAATTTTATCAAATGCTTGCTAGGAGGATAGCACATAAGCATAGGCAGGTTAGTGAATCAGTAATATACCAAACACAGCGATAAGCATTATGATTCTATCTATGTATATCTGTATAACAAATAAATAATGCTGCCCAGGAGCCCAGGACAACATCCCCTGTCTGCTATGACCTTGCTCATATGCACCTTGTTTGCAAGGCTATACATATATGACAAAACTAAAAAATATGAAGTTTCAGTGCATCTGAGTGTGCAGCACTGCTTCTGGGATGTTTTGTTGTGTGAAGATGTCAACTTGATTAACAAGTCTGCAGTTCAGCAGCAAGGTCTGCTCACTCTGTTATGCTTCCAGTATAGTTGTAGGGACCCTGATAACCCAGAGCTGCTAAGCGTTTATTACTGACTATGAAATGCATCAGTGTATTGCTAGTATTATTCCACCCAAGTATGTTCACTTATAAATACATATTCAGTATGTCTAATATATCAGGGTATGTTTAGATCCATATAGTGACTAAATGCATATTACAATAATTGTTATAATACATTATTCAAACAAATAGGTAGGAGGGAAGCACAAATTTTTGAAACCCCAGTACTGGAAAAGCTTTATGTTTATATGAAATAGAGTCAAAAAAACCTCAATCAGCAAAGCTGCAGGTAGAATTGTGTTACCTGCCACAGTCAGATTTTAGGTACACTGAATGAGCTATCTGGTGTTCATTTCAAGCCCAGCTGATCATAATTATTTAGACTTTACTGGTTTTCCACAGGTCTGCGATCACACAACTCTTTGTAGAAAGCTGACTGCAGATGTGAAAATAGGCCTTCACCACAGAGATATTTGAATGTTACACAAATGTATAGACTTTCATTCTGCAGCAGTGCGTCATCTCCTGTAAATATCAATGAAAGACCATCCGAACTTTAATACCAAAGTCCGACTTCAGACTGACACATTTTGCAATCAGGGCCCTGGAGCTGAAAAGATAATATCTCAGTTTATCTGGGGAGCTCCAGAAATACCCCTTGTGGGTTTCTATAGACCACAATTTGTGAACCAGTGTCTTATGTGATGAATCCCACAAAATCACTTTTAAAATATGTAATCAAGGGTATAGATTAGGGCTGAACGATTAATTGTTTTAAAATCAAAATTGCGATTTGAAAGAATGCGATTAGCTAATTGTGTACAGGGCGTCTGACCCGTTTTACATGCAGTTACAAATTCACTCCATTGTCACCCTCGTGTGACAGACCTGCTCGCCAAAAACGAGCCAATCACGAGCGCGTGCCGCGGTTTTGTCCGGTGTCAACACATGCTGAAGTGTTTTGGCAGCGGAGCGTTTAACCTATACGTTGTTAACATGTTGTTAATTTGTCATTTTGTGTGCTTCAACTATGGATAGCAGCTCTCTGTGAGCCCGTTCCCTCCCGCTCTCTGCAGGCTAACGTTACATATACACATGGAGCATTTCAGAAGAAGACCGTTTTGCCGGTGTGATTTTGTTGACTTGTTCAGATTTGCGTATTTGTTCAGTTGTCCTTGATTTTTGTGCTTCTACCATGATTAAGTAGTCTACGTAGTAAAATTGTTTCTTTTTTTAATCTGTTTTAACTGTGTTTATTGTTGATGTACAATTGGTATTCTGCAAAAGGTGTTTTATTTTGAAAATCGACCAGATTCTCTATGCCGTTCTGTGTCTGACTTCCTGCCTGGTTCATCTGCTCTGTGCTGCTTGACCCGGTTTACATCCAAAATAGACTGGCAGTGAATATCGAACTTAGCAAAAACTTCAATTAAAAAAATTGCAAATCGAATCATAATCGCAATATCTGGCAGAAAATCGCAATTACATTTTTCCACAAAATCGTTAGATGAAACTAATCACTTCATGTCATTGATGAAAACTGTTTTACATGAACGAATGAAAAATGAACATTTTGACGTGTTGTTAAGACGAAGCTGATCTGGGGACTGGGAGTTTCATAATTGAGATGGTATAGTATTAGTATCAAAAATATAATTTTAATGTGAAAATGGCAATGATGCCAGTAAGTCTCATCTGAGCTAAAGATTAGTGGTTTGTATCATTAATCCTGCATGTAGACTGTTTGAAGTTTTTATTTTTCATTTGATTGAATTCAGCTGTCTGGAGGCAATAGATATAATAATTATTTATGTTTCACTAATTTGAAAAAAGCACATTATCAGAGCAAAGTGCAGTTACAGAACTTTATTCCCTTTGTGGCTTACAATTAGCACCAGGCTGTTACAAATCTGCTTGGTTATTTTAGGTATTTTAGTTTTTGCAGCGCAGATCAGCGTCCTGGAGGCATACTGGACGCACAAGGAATATAGAGATGCATGAAAACCAATTTACAGTTATCTTTCCTCTCTACATCACGAAAAACATCCTTTCCCTGTCTTCATCCTGGGTTATTGGGATGCAACAACTGCAAACCTGATGCCCTTAGCCTCACTGATAAAATGCATTTTGAATTGCAATGAACAAAAACATGCCAAAGAGCAGAATCATTGTTCCTAACTACATTTATTGGTGATGGAACAGGAAACGAGTTACTGTGATAGCGATTTGCACATTTGTTAAAAAATATGAGAAAGTGGGGTATGAGTGGAGCGAACCTGCACATACAGTGAACAAAGCGGGCTTGTACATACATACAAAACAGGGCTTATAAATTACATGTACATAACATTGTGACTTTATCAGTAATTGTATTGTGTGCACACTGAAATATCTTTCATAGAGTTAATT